AAACCATGTAGCAAAATGGTGAGACTTTTGGCCCACAACCCACTCTTGGGTCTCACATACAGTAGGCAAGCACTCTACCACTGAATTATATCCTAGCTGGCATTTATTCTTTTTACTTTTTTGGTCTTTTTGAGACATGGTCTCAAAATGCACTTCAGGTTGGCCTTGAACTTGCCATGATCTTTCTGCATCAGCCTCCTGAGTGCTGGGATTACAGACGTGCGCCACCATGCCCAGCTCCTTAAGTATTCTTTGGAAACATCTTCAGTAGTGACCTGTAAATAGTGTATAGTGGGGCTGGGGAGATGGCTCAGTAGAATAAGCGCTTCCCTAGCAAGTGCAAGGGTCTGAGTTCAATCCCTGGTTCTGCCAAAAAAAAAAAAAGTGAATAGCAATTTCTTAATATCATTTTCCTACAGCTGGAATAAATTTCTAACCTATAAAATTTGGAATAGTGTGGACTACATAGCACAAACAATCCCTCACTGCACATGTTTTTTACATCATGGCAAAAGTATGTCATGTCATGTGTAGTTCCTAGTTGGTGAGCATACAACCACTGTGAAGAATGTCTTAAAAGAGGAAATGACAGGGAAGGTTCAAGGCCAGTTTGTGGGTGGCACACAGATACTTGACCTTCAGGTGTCCCATATACCACTTCTCCTAAAGAGATTTTTTTTTGGGGGAAAAAAAAAAAAGCAACATGCATACCCACAAGAATTTTAACCAGCGTGCTACCTCTGAGCTATAATTCTGTACTGCATCTACACTTGGTACTTGGAGAGAAGAAATTCGATGTGGGAGAAATCACAGCCACTACAGTTTAATTACAAGCTTACTAAGTTCATAGTCTGTTATCTATGATATACTCAGAGCCAAATTTATACCACATACAACTCTATCTTTGGCATTAGAAGTCAATACTTTTGTCACTTCATGATTCACTTACTAATGTGTGCCCGCTTTCCCAACCTGCCATCAAATTAAAGGGAAGAGGCAACTTACCACTCACCATCAGACCTGTCCACAAATATGTAATTTGCCTTTAAAAAAGGCCTGTGACAAAGTAACAAGCTTCCTTTAGTTAACACAGGCTGGTCACTGTTTAACCAAAGTAGACAGTCACTTATTGCACACCACACTCCAAGACTGTGTTACTTACTCCACCCATGTGGAGTTGGCTCTTTGACCCTTAGCAATGTGTTCAAGGCCCATGATAAGCTAAGCATGCAATAGAAAAGAAATGTAGTTCCAGGCTGGGATGCAGTTCAGTGGAGGAGCCTAGATGCTGTATTCCATCAGAGGGAGAGGGAGAGGGAGAGGGAGGAAAAAAGATAAAAGATACACAACAGAAAGAAAAAAACCTAGTTTAATAGTTCCTTTTCTCTTCCAAGGACTGTGACTAATGAGATCTTTTAGAGAGGACTGTTTAAGAATGATTACACTACTTTTTAGTTGTCTGTTCAAATGTTTAATACTGTTCAGGCAGATATTTTAAAGTTCATCTAAAGCAGGGCTGCCTTCAATGTCTCTGTTTTCTTGTACTTTCTCTGGCAGACAGTTGCCTATTTATATATATAAAAGTCTTTGATAAGCTTTATAAAAGGACATGGTCTTCCTCCTGCAGGTTTTATTTTTCTGGTAAAAGAACCTGGCTTGGGGCTGGAGAGATGGCTCAGTGGTCTAAAGCACCTATTTGGAACAAGCTTGGCAAAGCATCAGGGACCGCGGTTCGATCCCCAGCACCACATGCCAGCCAGCCCCGCCCCCTGGTGGGCTGAGCTGGCCACACACACACACCACAC